AAACTCATTACTTTCTAGTTAATGTCACAGATCTATATTGATTTGGTATTCAACCTAAATTGAAACATCATTGAGATTAACTGCGGCTAAGCATATAACGAAGTTCAGACTGAGAATATTTTTGCTACAAAATGAACCCTGTTGTACACTATGTAGATGCTTTCATTTTATTTTACGTATACTATCACAACTTTAAAATCAAAATTCTTCACTTGATTTTAATCTTATGCAGCTTCAATTTGAAGCCTAGTATCTCCGAGAGGACACCCGATAAGGCGGAGAGTATCACAAACTTTGTAATGTTGTACAGTAGGGGATTAGCCGATAAGCCTAATATTTTGAATTGGCTTTCCAACTCCTGCTCAGAAAATAAAATACGGTTAATAAATTTCAGTTATGAAATGTTGTTGTTAATCACCTTTAAGAGATCAGCTGCTAATTTGAGAACGCTGTTGGCTACCATCAGCTCTTCCTTCTTGTGAGGCTTTTTCTCTATTTGCAAGTAAAGATTGATTTGTTCTGTGATGAGCACGGAGAGATTCCTGTACTTTTTGTTGATCTTCACTCCTAGAGTCATGTATCGCATTATGAATATTCCCAATCCGAGAACCCAAATCATGATTTCCATATTATAATGGGAATTCAAAGTGAACGATTCCTAAGTATCAAATTTGTGAGCGTCTGGATTTCGATGTTGTTGAAGTATAGTTTACTCACTTGCAGCAATTCGACACAGAGGAAGGAAAGCAGTAGCAACATCACAATGAAAGAGGCTGAAACTATTACGTCCACTGAACGCTGCGGTCCGCGTTTCTTCAGGTACGAACGTACCGATAACCAAGTCTTGATATTTCGTACCTTGTGTAACCGGAAATGGGGAAGCTCCGATTTTCTGGCTCTCCGGAACGATGTCAGATGGGTAAATAGTTTGGCGTACAAGAATCGTTGTTTGAAGGTACGCTCGGCCACTGCTAGAAGGAAGAAAAGGAGGAAACCGAGTATTCCTCTTTGTATGACGGCGATCATAAGCAACACCCTTTCCCAGAGGACGGTGCCCAAGCACGAGTCAAGAATGTCACCGAAAGATTCACCGAACTTGACGTGTACCTTGTTTATTAGTTGGATGAGCGTGAGCTGCAGCTCATCCTCGTCTGACGTAAGATTCATAGAGTTAAATAGTCTGCTCAAGATCGGTAACGACGCTAATAGGATCGAGAAGAAGATGCCGATGTAGAAGTAGTATTTGCTCTCGGGCATACTTTCCACTCGGGCAATTATCACCGAACTGATTTCAATTACCGACAAATCCGCCTTCTTGGTTTCACGTTTATCCCAAATCGTGCAACTTACTGAATCAAAAAAAATAATAGTATAAGGATAATATTTATTTAAGTGATATGTAATACCTCGATCGCTAGGACCGCAATTATGGTTCAAGATGTAAGTGGGCGGAGCGTCGATGTCGTAGCTATCCAATTGGTGATCCGATTCGGACATTTCCGAGCTGTAGCTGCAATCCTCGCTGTTGGTCGTAATAACAATCCACTCGTTTGCAGATGTGTGGGCATCTATAGCTCCACTTCCAACGGTCTCAGGTGAAGATAAAGTCTCGCATTCTCCTTCCTCATCGGTTTCCCCGTTACTCTCTGCCGATAATTTGATTACGGTCGGCTATAAATATGCAATCAATTAAAAAATATTGTACTGAAAACAACATCCACACCCACTATTGTTAATCTCTGAAGGCTGTTGTGCGGAAACGAGTCCGAGTCTGATTCATGAAAATAACGCTTGGATCTCAAATCCGGAGCGGACTGCCTTCGCTTAAGCGTAATTCCTTGGACGCTCTTCACCCACTCGTTGACCCTCAACCCGGAAGTGCTGGTACTCTTTTCCTCCTCGTGTACTTCTCCGTTATTGCTCGGACTTGAACCGTTTCCGTTCAAGCTCTCGAAACCATCATCATCGCACCGCTTTTGCTCCGGACTTCCCTCCTCGAAAATAACGCTACTGCTCCTCGGCGAGTTTGGACCTTTACCCTTCCAGCTGCGATCCAACTCGTTCGCTTTGTCCATCTTGCGCACTCTCCTCTTCCGCCTGTTGTAGCTCTTCCGATACTTCGTTATCTTACGCTTCAAGTTGTCGGGTCCGTTCGGACTTGTCGCCACGATTTGCGAGATAATGAAACTCATCGCCCACATCATCCCCATAGGAACTATCAATTCTGAAGTAAGACCGTTCTGTAAGAATCACATAATTGTAAACAGATTACATTATTATATTATATTAAAATAGTACCTGTGCATTTGGAGTTATGTTGTAGGAGTACAAAGCTAAAGTCACAAGCTGCAAGAAGTAAAGCATCAGAAGAACCCCAAATATCCTGGTGGACGTTTGTTGTATCCACCATTTCGAGTACAATGGGAGCAGGAAGAACCTGCAGATGGATAGACGGACCACTGTGATGAACCCATGCTTAGGTTTGGTTTTGGTAAATGAGGAACCTAATGCAACAAAACAACTCATCATATAATAATCCACTAGTTATCAAGGCTCAATAAAAAACGTAATAAAATAAATAGATAAAGCAATCTTTATACAGGGTGTCCCCAAAAATATGTCTAATTGGAAATATTAGTAAACACACCTCTGACTAAGTCAAGATCAATCAAGTCAGTTTTTGGTTTGGCTGTCTTCAGCTGGATGTGATTGAGTCCATGCAAAATGCTCTGCTCCACTGTTTTCTCCCATGGCTGCTTATCATATGTCCCAATCTTCTTCTGATACCTGCATTAGATGGATGGTGAATTGTTCATCTGGATTTATGCCAATATTACCATGTTATAAGTTCCTCAATACCCATTTAAATATTTGTCACTTGAAAATAGGTTTGGATGCAGCATATAGAAATAATGTACAAGACAGCTTCGCTCGTCACTGCTGTTTCACGCTGATGCTGATGCTGTTCACTGGCACTCGTTCGAGAGAATGCATAAGTTGAACTGCTTCTGAAATTCCCGATGTCCGTTCAGACATCCAACGTATCCAGAACCTACGGGCATTCTACTGGTGCTCTGCGCTGAATGGGGCCACTGATAATTTTTCTTTGACAAACAGCTGATGTATGTTTTGGGATACTTTCCGTCTCACCTTTCCATTGTATCACAACATGAGACGAAACTGGGGCTTTTACATGGCGCATGCCTGACCTTTTAAAACTAGGAAGCATGGAACCGTCGAAGGCCATGCTCACGTACTTTTCAAGTTCAAATCACGAGAAATCATAGCCGTGCACATTGAGTTGCCTATAATAACATCCATGGAGCAAAGGAAAATGCAAAGAAAAACTCAGTAGTCCAACTATTTATGAATGAATGATTCAGTTATTCATAAAGCAAATGTATCAAATTACTATATAATTAATTTAAAACTACAATAAGTCATAAATTTCCAAATAAAAAAAGAATAATATAATATTCTCAAACCAAATCTGTTTTTTTTCAATTATATCTCAAATAGTTATTATTCCTTTAAGAAGCGACCTTCGCGGTTTAGAATGCAAAAAATATTCTTTAGCACGAACAGAAATGGTAATCTAAGTGAAAGCTGTTTGCTGCATTATATAATCTCATTCTACTTCTAAATCTCCAGTTGTTCATATGACCTACAATCATTGATTCATTTGGATTTTGTATTTTAAAAACCCGTTATTCTTATGAACAATTTACACAAAGTTTCTTCAAAAAAGTATTGTTTTTAACGGATTATATCAAAACACAACAATAACATTCATTTTAAAAGATTGAAAAAAAATAATTGAAAGTTGTTTGTATTGTTGTTGTTTAAGTAATTGAAATAAGTTAGCAACTGCACGTAAAATATGATCTAACTACTTATTTAATAGTTTAATTTAATTTATCAAAATACATATTAAACTTATATTAATTTAGATTTATTTGCAATATCTTTTATCAATTATATTGTTATATAATATTTATAATTTGAGACACGTCCAAAATCAATGGCCTTTTGGCTTGTTTATAATTATTCTGTAATTACTAAATATTATGCTTTGCAGTTAGAATAAACAATGCTGTACGATAGGGCGTATTTGTATATGCAAACATTTGTGTTCATAACATAATACATTGGATATTTAGAAAGTGATGTTTCGTTTTGATTAATCGACGTTCGTAATTGTTTTTGAAATAACAATGTTCGTAGCATTGAATATCGCGTATCGATCTTGGATTTGTGCGGAACGAGCGTTATTATTAATGCGGTAGAACATGGAAAAAAAATAAAATAAAACCATAGCTAGATAATCCAATTTTTCCTGAAGCTCGACGATTCGAAATGCCGTTCGCAATTTATAATTAGAATGCGAGAGCCGTAATTAACAAATACAAAATGCAACAAGTCTGTTGAACTCGTTGCGTGCGTTGTTTGTGCATTCGCAGGCAATGTTTATTAATTATGTGCATGTCAAGGAATGATAATCAATGCCCGTCCGATAATTGGAAAACTACAATGCATAATGCGTGCAAACACAAACAGCCACGCGATTTTCGCAACAAGATAATATTGGATCCATTTTCCTTTCGCATTTCCCATCCGCATCCATCGGTGCATGGAAAACGAGTTCCGGCTGACAGACCACCGGTTTCCGGCTGGAGGACCGCTCGAGCCGCCGAGTGGTGAAGAGAAGAGGTGACGGCGCTCCAAAAACCATTCCTCCGTTCGTCCGCCGCAGGAAGCGCTCCATTTTATCACGTTATTCCTGCGACTAAGATGTGCTTGGCTCTATCAAACTACGCCCAGGCAGCAGTATTATTCACTTGTCATGTTTGCAAGGAAGAAAGGAGAAATGGAACCCAATAAACGGAAGGACCTCACAATGCAAATACATCTGCGTGTAGACATATATATATTCATACATACAGACACACTTCAAGCACAAATGCAGAGAACTACTATGTAGTTGGCCTCGTTTTGTGTCGTTGCAACTTCCATTTAGAATTGCTCATTGTGCGAGGCAAATCCAAATTATCTTCCCTCCCAAGAAAATTGGACCGAGCTCGCAGCGCGCGTACACTTCCAACCATCCAAAATTAATTATTACCATTGAAATGCGGTACAACAATGGTGCTCTGTGTGCGCGTACGAAGGAAATGAGAGGCGCCTGATTTTAATTCAACAAATTGCTATTAATTTTATTACTTATTTGAAGCCCATTTCTGAGATGTTATTACATTATTGATGTTATCACCACTGTTGGTGTTGATGGTAGTAGACTGGTACCGGTACTGGTTTCTCCACGGTGTACGGAACGTGCTTCTTGATCTCGACTGGTACAGGGTTTTCGACTGGAACCTTGACGGGATAAGGGACCAACTTCTCGACCGGTACGTGCACCTCCTTGTAAACTGGGTACGGAACAGACACGTGCTGCTTGACTGGTACAGGGTACGGCTTCTCCACTGGGTATGGGACTGGGTTATCTACTGGTACCTTGACTGGGTAAGGCACTAATTTCTCTACCGGAATACGAACGTTCTTTTGGACGTGGACTGGGTACGGCTTCTCTACGTAGTTTGGTACTGGTTTCTCAATGTACACTTTTACTGGTACTGGGACGTTCTTGTACACTGGGTAAGGTTTATTTACGTGCACCGGAACCTTCACAGGTACACGCACCTCCTTCTCAACTGGATAAGGGTGAGGTACGTGCACGTGGTATGGTACACGGACTTCTTTCTCAACCGGGTACGGTTTGTCGACGTACACGTTCACCGGATACGGTTGATCAACGTAAACCTTAACTGGTACTCGAACTTCCTTCTCAACTGGATAAGGCTTTGCAATTGGAACTCTGACCTTCACTGGAACCTTCACCGGCACTGGGATGTGTTTCTCTACCGGGTACGGCTGTGGAACCTCAACCTTAACAGGGACTGGCACGTTCTTGAACACCGGAACTCCAACGTGTTTCTCAACTGGGTAAGGTTCCGGAATTCCCTTGTAGAAGGTGATGGTCTTATCTACTTGAACATCCTGTCCCAAATCAATTTTGTGTCCATTGCCTGCTCCCACATCGTAACCATGATGGTACTCATTCCCGTATCCGTAGCCGATATCCAAAAGTCCACGCTTACTCTGAATCTTGTTCTCACCAGCTTCAGCAGCCTTCTTCTCCTTTGCAACTACTGCCCCAACCAAAAGGACTAAGAAAGCTACTTTCACCTGCAAACAACAAAAGAACAATTAAAGAAAACGTAAATTATAATAGTTATTTAAAAGAAAACTTACCAAAGGCTTCATCATGGTGTAATGAATTCCTTTTGCTGTGAGTTGAGTGAAACTGGTGACTTTGACGAAGAAGCAACCGCCTTTTATACTCGCCCGAAAGCAATTAAGGCCCCAAAAAAATAATTGGACCTTAACCGTGGGGGGAATCTAATATTATTTTTTTCATTAATTAATTCCTTACTTTCGTTAATTGTTACGCTATCTGGAGCCGATTTAATTTAGAATTTTTCGGTATAAAAGCGAAACGAGCCGCGAACTTATCAACCAGTTTCGTTCCGAAAATCCAATAAAAGGAGTTCATTACACCATGAAGCCTTTGGTAAGACGCCCAATTAACTAGAGTAATTTGATATTAATAACGTTCCACCGCTCTCAGGTGTTTGTTGCGTTCTTAGTCCTGGCCGCTGTTGCCGAGGAGAAGACACAGAATTCTTTTAATTTGGATGTTGGAGAGATCGATTTGGGACATCACACGGATATCAAGAAAACGGTGACATTCTACAAGGGAATCCCGGAACCTTATCCAGTCGAAAAGCACATCGGATTTCCGGTGTTGAAACACGTTCCAATCCCTGTGGAAGTCAAAGTGCCGCATCCGTATCCTGTGGAGAAAGAGGTGCTGGTACCGGTGAAGAAGTTCGTGAAGGTTGGGTATGCTGTACCAAAGCCTTACCCGGTTGAGAAGAAGGTGAAAATACCTGTAAAGGTTTACGTCGATAAACCGTACCCAATCAAAGTTTACGTGGATAAACCATATGCAGTTGAGAAACCGGTCCATGTACCGTACAAGGTTTTCGTGCCGCATCCGTATCCGGTTTTGAAGAAAATCCCAGTTGCTGTTAAAGTACCTGTTCACGTGCATAAACCTTATCCGGTTTACAAGAACGTCCCGGTGCCGGTGAAGGTTTACGTCTATAAATACGTTCCAAAATACGTGGAGAAACCATATCCAGTTAACGTCGAAAAGAAGATCCCTGTACCAGTTGAGAAATACGTTCCATACCCAGTCAAGGTTCCAGTCGAGCGTTTGGTACCTTACAAGATCGAAAAACCGTTCCCTGTACCGGTTAAAGAGTTTGTTAAAGTACCATATCCAGTCTATAAAGAGGTTAAAGTACCAGTTGAAAAACTGGTGGGTTATCCTGTAAAAATTGAGGTTGAAAACCCGGTACCAATTGAAATAAATAAACCTGTACCATACATCGTCGAGAAGGTTGTACCATATTACAAAAGCGCAAAATGGTAAGAAAATCTAACATTGTTATAGTTAAGTAAAAACTGTTGAGTTTCTGTTATTGGCTTAAATAAAACAAAAATTAAATTGAAGGTTGTTGTAATTTCTAATTCCTTAGTGTTTCATTATATTCCTCACTCGGAGGAGATAAACGCAAGATGAGAATGGCAAACAAAAGGATAAATGACGGTCGTCTGTGCATTAAAAAGTGATTTCGCGTCGGGATTCCGGCGTCCCTAAATTTACCAGAAGGTGAAGCAGAAAAAGTTGGTGGAGGATGAGGAAATGAGGGTGAGCAGGTAGCAGGTGCAGTCTCTCGAGGGTGGTCGGAGACGTGGAGGAGGACACAACAAATAGTTTTGTCTCGCTGCTGGGAAATAAGGGCCGGAGCCCTCTGTGTGTTCATATTTCGCCAGATACTTGAGGCTATTTTCTCTTAATTTTCCCACCCTCCGCAGGGACGCATCCGTCTTTGCGCCACCACCTGGAGCCATCCTCGCTGCACTTACATTCCATTTTCCGAACCCCGTCCTCAAAACGAAACAAACAGAAAACAACGTCCCTCCTCTATCCACACACATACTTTTCCTTCCACTCCCATATTTATTTCTTTACGTCCCGCTCTGTTGTTCTATTCACTTTTTCCGCTCCAAATTCCCCTCTTTTTTTAATATACATCGCGAATATGTGGAATGTTCCATATTTACAAAATTTTAATATTCGAATTTTCTACCTCCAGAACGCTTAAACCAAGCTTTCATTTCGTTTCCTGCTTAATTAAATATCAAACCCAGCGCCGAAATATACAGATACATAATAAACAAAAAACTCGATCGCTATTTCAATATTTCAATTAAATCGTATCGATTGTAAATCCACATTTCATATACGAAATAAGAAGCGAAAATGTTTTTGCAAGAGAACAAATATTTAGTATATGAGCGAATTGAATTGCATCCAAACAAATAACGAACTAATAAATTGAACGAGAAAATAGTAAAATAAAATTGCTCCTTTTCTGTCTTTCTATATGTGACAGTAATAAAATCAATGTCAGTTGCAAACTGGGGAGAGTTTTCAATTAGACGTTCCCTCACTAAAGACACCCAAAGTGTGTCTCACAACTTATATAAAAGATACGGCGCACGTTTAACTTTCACCCAACTAGTTGCAGACTCCACCGCATTTACTCATGAAACTGCAAATAAGTTGTGTCATGCTGTCTCCACTTGTATTACCAAGATTGCTCAACTGAATGCTGTATAAAACCGCACATAAAGATATGCTAAGACTATCAATATCATTAGTAGAATATTTTATATATTTAGCATTAATTATATAAAATAACAAGAACCATTGATAAATACTCTTGTGAAAATCTGTTTTAATGAATTAGAGCAGTTAAATGTTTCGTAAAAATCTGGAATGGAATAATTACTAAATAAAGATTTTTATTTTATTTTTTAAAATTTTATTGATTCCGTGAAAATTTCAGGATTAACGAAGATTTCCGTTGTGGGAAACTCTAAATTAGTATTTTAGATTTTTGAATATGTTTTGATCAATAATATGATATTGAAAATTGAGCATTAAACGATGTGCTTTACTATAGATAAGTCTGTTTGCGATATATTAATATTTAGAGCGTGTTGCCTTATCCCTGTTAAATTTGGCGTTTGAGTAATGGAAGTGGGTGAAGAGTGCAAACAAAACGATTACTTTTATTACATAAACATTGTTTGCAGACAATCTCTAAAAGAAAGCACATTATTTTACATACATTACTTTTTGTTTACTTTTACATTTACTTTGATATGATTATTAAAGAAATTATACAACATAATTTTGATTAGCAAAATTATCTTAGATAATCTTTAATACGTTGATATATATACCAGAGTTACTCAACCTATGGGTCGCTGAAATGACAGCTGTCAGCTTATGTTAAAGAATGATTTTTGCTGTCATCGACACTTTTAAATTTTATGTTATAAACAAACGGGCCGTAGTATAACTACAAATAAAAATGTTGAAAAATGCTGCTATATGAATGGAAAAATGTTAAGTTTCTTAATGTTTCACTTCTTAATTATTCCCTAAGGTAATTTATATAATAATAATTTATCAATAAACATAGGTGCTAAAAAGTTAATCTTTACCTATTTTTTTTTAATGTTTTCTACTTAATACAATAATTTGTATTGTATTAATAATGCATTTTATATAAAAAGCTTTTTTTATTGTGTAGAAAAAAAAATCTTAAAGTTGTAAATAAGGATCAAAGCTGAAACTTGAAGCTCTTTCAGATGCTTTAACGTCTATCATCTAGTTTCGTTTCAATTACACAAAATGTTGCAACGTCATTAAAGATATTTTAAAGCAGCTCAAAGTGTTTTAATTGAAAACGGATTTGGAGGTAAACAAACGTTGCAAAAACAGCATATAACATCAAGGCGACCAACAATATCCATGGCAATCGTAGGTAGGTTGCCATAACAACTTGCTGGTATCGAAGGACGGTGTGATGTTTGATGAGCGTTTAATGAAAATAAACAGATCCTTTAAAACGCTCCACGTCTATTTATTTTGCACTCGTCGTTGGCTTTTTTCCTCGCATCTCTCTCTCTCGCAATTTCTCTCCTCTGGTTCATTGTGTATGTGTTTGCAATCGAATGACAGAGAGAGAGAGAGAGGAGAGAATCTTCGGTGCATTGAATCGGCAAGGCGTATTGTGTCAAGCCCATTCTACTTACTTCTACATCCCTCGAAGCGTCAGAACCCCATTCTCTTATAAACGCTGTCCTTTATTTTCTATTATTTGCCCGGGTTCATGGTATCTCGCGTATGAAGTTGCTAGTTTCAGACATTGACTTATTACTGCGGCTGCTCTCCGTTCTCTCTCTCTCTCTATATATATATCAGCTTTCAATATATATGTACATCTCGTTTTTATTTCTGCCGGAGTTTCGACTTGCCGAACTATTAACTTTCCACTCCATTCAGTCCCCTTAAATAAATATAGGAACAGAGAAAAGAGTCGCTGGCGATACCAAAGAACTGCAAAAAAAAGAGCAAAAACAGAATAAAATAAAAACGAGAAAAATCGTGAGAGAAATAGGTCGGAGTACGAGGAAAAGCAGACCGGAATTCGAGTTTCCATGCAACTTAAACAGTTATGAATCTATAGCCTCACATCCCCATCTTCTCTTATTCCATCTTCTTCAAGAGTGAATCAGTTTGTGTATGTACAGAGCGTCCATCAGAGGTTTCAAAACATGATATTTTTCAGAAACAATTACCAGTGCACTTCATTTAAATCTATCTTCTTTAACCTTTTGAAGGGCCAGAAATTCATAAATTTCTATACCCAACAAATTTCTAGATAACATAATCAGAAACTTCGTTAAATGAATCAACATATGGACTATCAAGACTATCAAGATACATCCCTTGACATACTAACCAAATTAAAGGGTAATTTCTAATTAGTTAAAGAACAATCAAAAACATGTATTGACAAATTTGTGTATGAACCTATAGAAAATATATATTATTTTTAATTCGTAAAATATTCTTTCTACAGAAGAATTATTTGGAATCACTGGTGTGCAGTGTCCTCGTCCACATTTATTTTCCTCATCCACCTGCGATGGGCACGTTCCCACTATCAATTCGGCGTTTGTCGATACATTTCCGACGTTTCGATTTTCGTCGCGGCGGAAATTACAAAAGTCCTCTACGTAATAAAGTTCGCTGAGTTCGGCGTTGTCGAAGAATACCCGTCGTCGTCGTCATCGCACCGTCACCAAAATACAGCCCTTTCGGGAATTTCGCAGACGGCGTAATAATAATGATCATCATTCTTCCGAGCTCGAGGAATGTGATTAAGGAGAGATTATCCCCGTAGCGCAATAGTAATAATCGTAATAATAATAATAAGTTAAGAAGGGGGAGCGGGTGGGTAGTGGTGCTGTGCAGCTAATAAATCCGACGAACCGTGCGAACTCGCGGTGGTAATTATTATTAAAATTTTCCGCGCAAATTATTTTTGCCCGCATTCTCCGAACCCTCTGCCGTCCTGCCCTCCACATCTCGTGCCGCGCCGAGAATTTATTGTCTTAGATTCATTCTTAACTATGCGCAATTTAATTATCTTTGCGACTCGTCCTCCCCTTTTGCAAAATCCGGATTTATGAGATCACCTTATAATTTATAGTTCTTTACGAAACCGCTAGACTATGGCGCCTACCAATTCGTTGCATTCTCAGAATGCAGCTATATTAAGGGTTGAAAATTAATATGTTTTTAAAATGAAAAAAAAAATGTGAATTATGTAATAATCGTGCAAATTTGTAATAAACTAATTCATGAATAGTGTAATACATTAATAAAATAATATTTTCAAGACAGAAGAAGCGTTTTTGGAAGTACGCAAATGCATCAATGAAACCAAACTATTAATGAATGAAATATAGCAATAAGAACGTAGAAATTCCATCTAGGCGAGAAGAGAAAAAAATATTAATGGATATAATAAAAACGTAAATTTCTTCCTGAAGAAGAGAAATAAATAATTATATAATTGCATATAATATTTTACATATAATATAATATTGCATATAATATTTTACAAATTTAATTCATAGAAAGAGCACACAGTTATAAATTTCATAATTTAATATACTCTGAAAGAATTGTTAAAAAAGGTTCGAAAATATTGAGTTTTTCGAGGAATAATAGTTTCTACATAAATTGATTTTATTCTTAATACATTTTTTATTGGTATGGATTAATTTATGATGAATTTCTTTGATTTGTGTTAATTATTATGTTTATTTATAGTTTGACTTTTGTCATTTAATAATGATTCAAATAATTAATTTTACTTTATGCGTGAAATGAACAGATGAATTAATTAAAAATAGATTTGTTGGATCCTTGAAAGCAAAAATGTATGTGAAATTCTCTGAAACGTTTTAAAAATATATTATAAATTCGTGAGTTACATTAAT